ACATAGAGGTTAAACAATAATTAAGCAATAAATAATATAAAGAAATAGAAAACTTCTTAAAATTTTGTATATAAAGCAAGAGATTCATTGAAGTTATGGTATTTATGCATGTGCATTATTATTGAAATTGTAAGCCCAATTTTGAAATATTCAGTAGTGCTTCATACTCTAGTTTGTGTCAAATTAGATGTTGTAATGAAAATTGTGATTTATCTAAATCAGGTCTGAGATCTTGCATTTCTAAGGAAGTTGAAGGAGATGCTGAGATTGCTAGTCCCTGGAAGTCACACAGAATAGCAAGAATCTATTCTGAGAAAAACTAAGTCAGATTTATTTAAATTGCTGGTATTACTATTTTTAGATGCTAGTTCAAGTCTCTGATTTTTCCTTCCAACTGGCCAATAAACAATAATAGGTCTTTGTGAAGCTCAAATGCTCTGTTGCTTTCCTCTGTTATTTGTTATGTATTTATTTAAAATCAAGGGCAGGAACAGCTCAGTGTGTGTCTGTGTATTTGTGTTTGTGTGTTTGTGTGTGTACCTGGGGGCAAAGTGGAACCTGCCAGAGTGCTCTATAGCAAGAGAAATGTGTCAGCAACTCTCCTGTGACTAGCCTCAATTTGGACTTGAATTCATCAAAGCATATAAAGTTTAGAGAATTGTCAGGTTCAAATATACCCTATCTCTGAGGTTAAGCCTTAGCTTATTTCACACATTTCAACAGTTTCCATGTGGATGCTGTTAAGGTTGCCTGGAATTTGGAGATAAGCCCGGGATTAGTCCTGCTTTAAAGTCATCATGAAGCCTTGTTATAGGTCTGAAGTAAGTTGTTAAATATATTTCTGAGAGCTTCCTGGAGGGAAAAGTCACACTTTCACTTATTTAAGTGAGTGTCAAATAGCAAAACAATGGTGATGATTGTTGCAAACTTACCTGCGGGCTCACAGCTTCCTGGGATTAGAGATGTGTGGCTTATTTTTTAAGGCTAAAACATTATTCTGTTTATGAAACTTACTTCATAAATATCTAAACTTAGAATTCATGGATAAGGTACCAGCTTTAAAACTTCATTGAATAACTATTTCAATCCTATTCAGTCAGATGTTAAGAAATTACTTGGTAATAATTCAAAATTATTACAGCATTATAATATATTTTAGTGTTTTTCTTTATTATAAGACAGGCAAATCACCATAATTTTTACGTTTGTTGGAAATAGAGATTCCCAGTAATACCATACTTTTTTAATAAAATGGGTAAACATTAGCTTTCTTATTTTTTCCATTAGGTATAGCTATTTTAATAGTGTGGGAGACATAGTTCATAAGGCAGAAACATTTGAGAAAATGTTACCAACATTTTATTGCTTTTAGCTGAAGGATCCTGCAGAACTTTTGGAAGAAGTGTAGTGCAGAACTAGTAAATTGCGTATTACATTGGATTAGCGTAGGAATGTGTTTCTGAAAATTAGTATACAGCTTTAGAAATAATTTTCTAAACAAGGCCAGTAAATTTCCTATATTTTCCTCTATTTAAACTTGCCAAAGCTGTTTAATCTCATTTTTACTGAGCTGATGAAAAGACCATCATGATTTACAAAATACTGATTTCTGGGGTTATCAAAAAGAGAGCATGAATTAACTATAGCATTAAGTGCACAGTTATAATAAAACAAATACAAATGTTTCTCTGTTTTAGAGGGCCTGTAAACAATAAATGCCCTTTTTGCTTTTGTAATAGTGAAAATAATCTTGCAAAGAAATCTACTAAGCACACATCTAAGACCACGTAGATAATTTAGATAAATAATATGATCTTTTTTATTCAATTCTTAGAAAATTTATTTGAATATTTGTAACAGCCTATTGATCATGTTGAAAGTTTTCATGTTAAACCAGTTCTAATTTTTCCAATACATTATGAATGACCATGATTAGTCTGCACAAATTCTTTAAATAATGTAGCACTTAGATAGATAGAGATAGATAGATACACAGATGATGGATAAGTTTCTGTGAAACTGAAAGGATTTCCTCAAAAAAGTATGGAGACTGCTTACATTAGAGTAATAGAATTTTTGACGGGAGAAATCAACAGCTGAGCTCAATGACTTTCTGTATTAGACTGTGACCTGGACTCGTTATGCTAATTCTTCACACTTGCCATAATTCTGAAAACAGCAATCCTGCTCCTTAGGTTCACTTTACATCCTAATATGCACCAGTTTTATCCAAAGGGGATTATAATTCAAACAAAAATTTGAAAGGAGGGTCTTACTTCATACAGCTTTACAATTATAATGTATTATAAAGGATTACAGAAGTATTTTCATTTCTACTTTCAGCAGTGCTGGGATGGAACCAAAGGATTATGCTAGGTAAGGGTTAAACCACTGAGGTACACCCCCAGGACCCTTTTCACAGTTTTGAGACAAGTTCACTGTCCTGCTTAGGCTGGCCTGAATCATGGAACCTGTGATTCTTCTACCTCAGCCTCCTGAGTAATTGATAGTACCACTGAACCTGGACCTATAAAATGTTGTTTAAGTCATTTATTTCTTTCAAAATATATTTTTTTCAAAAAATATTTTTGCATTTATTATAAAATAATATTTTAAAGTTGATGATTTGTAGAACTGGAGTATCTAAATGAAAACTTTACCTAAGCATTAAAAATATTAATTGAAAGAGTTGCTGGCCGAGACCGGACACTTTAACCATGAGAAGCCTCAGCCAAATTAAGGGGCTCCTGCCTCCTCCACCCCTATAGATTTACCTGTAACCCTATACCCCCATCCCTAAGAACCTGTCCCTGGCGCCAAACGTGTGCCAATGAAATACCTGTGCATCTCTAATGGCCTTAGGGAGCTGCCCTAAGCTTAGGCTATTTATATTCCCCCACACCACGTGTCCCAGAGAGATCGCCAGATTCCAGCCGCCAGTGCCTCCCCGTGTTCCCAGAATAAAGGCCTCTTTTGTCTTATACTCCTCAACTTTTGGAAGCATCTTTTATCCTTTGAAGATAATCCTATCATTAATTATCACTTAAAACATTCAGTAAAAAGTCAAAAGTCGCTATCATAAGGTCAAATAACCCTTTTCATTTATGTGGTGTACTATTTCACTGGTAGCCGGGCCCCTGACAATCTACTGATTTCTTAGGTAACAGTACAAGAAAGTCAGTTCACATAAGCTGGTACTGTGCCAAAGACAATAGCAATTTAATGCCAACAGAATGTAGGTGTCATTATTTTCTCCCGTTTGCAGATTTTCTGTTAAAAAATTCCCCTGAGAAATATTCAGTAAAAAAAACAAGAGTTTGGAGAATAATTCTTACTATTTTACCTTCACAACAAAATTCTACTATAAAAAATAGTTTAGCAAAACAAAGTTAATTATGAAATAATTTATTGAAAGATACATTTCCTTATTTATTCTGGTACCAGCTAACCAAAAGGACCATTTCCTTGGTGAGCTACAGTTACAGATCATCATTTTTCTTTCCCTCATTCAGACACAGATGACATACAGATATAGATGTATAGATATAGATGTAGATATAAATATGGATGTAGTTGTAGATATAAATAGATTTATATATAAGTCATAAACAATGATATAAAATAATACACATGTATTCAAAGGTATCAAAGTATACACATTTCTTTTTAAAAATGATTCAGCTTTAGTAGAGCATTAAATGTCTATTTTTAGCTAGGGTAATAATTACTTCTTTGAAAAATGTAGCTTTAATTGCCAGAAAATGATATGAATCTGCTACTTGAATTGGTTTTTAAAGTTTTTGAAAATTTCAGTTGTGCATTGTGGCATATATGCTCCGGTGGCTTTGAATGTCTTTCTGCCTAAGTAATACAAGGCAAAACTTCTTTGAAATCAAACCAAAGTGGTGAAGTTGGTAGTACATGCCCTAAAAGAATAATATTAAACAATCTCATTTTGTTCATATAAATTCCAACATCTTCCAGGAAACTGCTTAATAAATATTTAAAATAAATCATTGAATACTAGAACTCTATAAAAATCAACTTAATATTAATGCAGTGAAAGCCAATTGAAGAAATTTTGAATACTATGATGTTTCGCTGAGAATAAAATTTTAGAATTTTGATTGACCATCTGATATTGATATATTCTCTTTAGAGGTACAAGAATGATACTCAAATAATTTTATTGTCATTCTTTCTTACAGATATAAAATGAAGCTCCTTCATAAAATGAACCATGAGACACAAAACTGCATTGCAAATAAATATCATTTTAAAGTTTCCCTGTCTCTACTTCCATAATTTATGAAATTATTGTCCCTATAGCATTAAAGAAAAATTTAGACCACATATGACTAATGAAATCTCTCTTAGAAAACATTCTACAGTTTTATTCTGCTGTTTTATAAGCTGTGTTTTGCTAGAATGGTAAAAATATTTAAAAACGTGGTTAAACTTTCTAATACTCTGATATACCAGATTGCCTTTATTATTGTTCAGATAAGGTATAAAATATCTAGACTCGCTAAGCAAAAATAACTATATACATTTCTTATAATTTCTAATATTTGCGGAGTTACACAAGCACATCCTAGAAAATACACCATACTGGTAATAATAGAATAGGTATATTTTTCAAAATTAGGAACAGACTTTAAATTTCTGCTTCCATACACCATCATCTATCTGTACTCACACGAATATATTTTGCAATATTTTTCCTAAAGTATAAATTTAATGCACTTTGCCACATCTAGCTAAACCAGCAAGAAATAGAGCGAAAATTTCTTATGGTCCCCCAAATGATACCAATAGCTTTTCATTAGTTTTCTTTTACAATTGTCCCATTTTTTCTGAAATCACAATATAGATAAAACCTCATAATCACCTTTAAGATGGAATCAGAAAGAAATTTCCACATTTGGCCTTTGTAAAGTCCCTTAGTGATTCTGGGGGTGGTAAGAGAATCAGATAAAATTTTATCAACTGCATCTTACCTCTATCACTGAAGTCATCTACTAGAATGATTTCTGCTATCAGACTCTCTGGGGTTCGGTTAATTATGCTGTGTATGGTTCTCAGGAGTGAAGTCCAACCTTCATTATGAAATGGGATAATGATGCTGGTGTTTGGCAGCGTTTCCAGGTACATCTTGTGCTTACAGCTGTAGATGATGGAAAAGGAAAAAAAAAAAAAAACAGCTATGTCAAATGCAAAACTGTCATATAGCTCATCCCATTATTTACTGACTATGTTATCAAACAATGGTGAAAATTTGGCTTCATGTAATAGTTTTCCAAACAGAGATTATTACATCATAATGGTTGCTCTCATCATTCATGGAATTTTAATGAGCCCCTTTCACACTCATTCTTAATGAAACAATTCACTTACTCTCTTTGTATCAGGGGCCCAAATAAGTCAAGATGTTAAAATGTTGTGCATTTGTTAATGAAATTTTTCCTATTGTTTTTTATAATAGAATTAAGGATAAGTGATATAATTTAAAATTGTTTTCACTGAGCACATATTTAAGGTTTATATGGGTTTCCTGAAGAATTATGGAAATTTTCTTCTGTAATAATAGTTTTTATTGTGAAGTATTTCATCCACTGGACAGTATTTATGGCTTTGTGGCAGGGGGGATCTTACAGTTTTCAGTGGAACAAATGAAAAGTTAATACTAAGTGACCATTTACTGAATACAAGCATACCATATAATATCATACTAAAGATACACACCATGGCATGATTACACTTTAAATGGAAATTGTAAAAAGAAATCTCAAGGTAATTTTTTCTTTGTGAACACAAAATTGAATATTTTTATCCTGCTTACTTAATGACTTATTTAATCTAAAATGCACAAAGTTTAACAAGTACATTTTGATATTTTCAAAAGTGAATAAAGAGTTGGAAAACTACCAAAATGATACTATCATACAGGGATGTAAATGCTGTAAAAATCATGAAATTCATGCTTTCAAAGATGAGTAATAAGTTGGAAATGCTATCAAAATGATACTATGATTAGACATATATATGTTGTTAAAAGCATGGAATACATTTTAGGGTAACTTAAATAATATGAGACAAAACTCTCAGTAATTTTCAATAGTGTGATAAGATAAATGGCCTCACATAAAATGAACACGTCTGGAAAATATTGTTAGTGTAATTCAGCACACCTTGGTCATAATTATGCATGGATATTCATTCTTCTGAACAAAGTAAAAGACCCAAGATAATTGCACTCCCACATATCAATATTCAGGATAATTACACTCTTTGAATAAACCCATCATATTTCACTATATTGTACAGATGAAAGTGGTATTTCCAAGAAGGCAAATTATATTTAAACATCAAAACAAGATATTATACATGACAGTTGCTTATTAATTAAGCACCACAGTAAGAATATTATATAGATAATATGCTTATTTTTATGAAAATATCAGTCATAAAATCTAGTCAGGAGAAAAACAGACTTTAAAGATTGCAAGACAAATCATGTGTAAAGACTATCTTTTTAAAATGCTTTCAGCAGTTTCTGTTTACAGAAGTTTAATTTACTACCACATATGAAATGTGAAAGGATTCTTTCTACTTGTGCATTCATTCACTCATTCATTCATTTCTTCACCCATTCAAATCACAATTGTTTACTGAGGGTTTAGTATAAGCCAGAATCAAAGGAGAAACAAAGCTTTTTCTTAACGTTTACAATACAATGATAAATGCGGACTGAAAAATATTTAAATTTTAAAATGAAACGTATAATGTAGAATTTTAACAGAGAACTATAGGAATATTTGAGAGCCAATCTGGAAAGTCATAGAAATATGAGAACCGAAGGTGGCCTACAAAAGACAGCTTCAAGGTATCTTTAAAAATAAAATTGTATAAAACTTAGTTAGTGGGTCCTATTATAAGGGTCAGTAGACAGCCAACTAAATGCATTCATCCATCTCTGCAAAATAGTAAGATGTGAACTTGTGGGAAAAATTAATATCCTGGGAGCAGATATTAACCTGTAAAAGGTGAAAGCCGGAGAAAATTCTGATGCTGTGAAAAAATCTGAAGTGTGCTGTGTCTTGTCACAGCTTTTACATTCCTCTCTGTACCCCAAAAGTTGTGAATACTCCACAGGAAAGGAATAATTCTAAAACTATTGCAGTCAGTTTTATTGTTTCAGGATTTATTTTTAGGAGAAACTCAACCAAAACATATTAAATAATACTGTGGTTGGCAAGAACATTCTCTTGATCTCAATAAGGGTCAAATTTCTTAGCATTTATCTTTAGTAAGCTATGAACTTGTAGATTGTGATACCTGAAGATATTTTGAAATAAGATTTTTAAGAAATTATTGCACATTAATTTCATAAGTTTTTTCACTGTTTTAATTATTATTTTTGCTGATTCAATCTTTTCAATGCCATGAAATGCAATTATCAGAAAGTCACAGAGTATTTACATATAAATGGCTTTATCTAAAATAGTGGATGACTAGTGGTTGTTACCTTCTTCATACAAATATCTGTAATTTTTTTTTCTGTTGGGCTACATTACAAACTCATTAATGTCTCACATCTGATGATTATTTCCCAAATATTGAGTAAGACACATTTTATGCCTTGTATAACCTAGGCTCAAATGTCATCTTTGCCACTTATTATGTGGCAATGACCATTTTATTTAACTTTTATAAGTTTCTGAAATGTAATAATGCTGTAGAAAAAATACTTTACATTGAATTAAATTAATAATCTATGAGAAAAGTATAGCTTTTTATCTGACCAGGGCAACGGTTTGATAAATACTACTGTAATTCTTGCTGATATTGTTATTTAATTGTTTTTTTTTTTCTTTGACCTGTCAAATGCTCTCTGAAAAGAGAGAAATAGGAGAGACTGAAATGGCATAAGGGAAAGTGAGAGACATTTAGGATAAAATATGAATAAATTACAGTCTCTTCCCTTAAGGTTTCACAGACCAGTGGACAGATATAAAAAATGATTAGACTCAAATGAGACAAGTGACATAATACATGGCACACAGGCAATATGAGCCCGAAGGAGTTGTGACCAAGTTTGTCTGGAGGAATTAGGGAAGTCTTTATAGATGAATCTGAAGGTTGAAAAGTGATCATGCAGGACTCTAAAAGTGACTCTAAGGAGTTTGGACGTTAGCCTGCAGTCAACATGAAGTTTTTCAGATACTGTTAATCATGACAACAATGGGACCATGTTTACTTATTCAATACATTGCAGACAATACATTGCAGACAATACATTGCAGACAATACATTCAATTCAGACAATACATTGCAGATGACAGAGACTAGAAGCAGAAAGAAAAGATTATAATAGACAAAAAATAGTGAGACCATGGATATGATTTTCACTCAAAGGAAAACCAACCTTTTGTAACAGTATTTAATCTGGTTGCATAGTTTTTAATCATTCTAGCTGGTAAGCTGTTCCCATGGAATTCACATCAAATTCAGGCACTGAATTTAAGAAGTTGTGCTCTGGATGACAATTCCCCAGCATTCCTAGAAACACTGAAGAGAACTCAGGATGTTGTTAGGAATGTGCGCCTCTATTTTGTAGGTTTAATGTCAAGTCAAGATGAGAATAGAAGTTTACTAAATCTGAAGATGATCTAAAACCATGAAATTGTGTTTAAGCACTACATAAAAGGGATTTAACTGTGTAACTCAGTGAGAAAGTTTGTGAAAGGCTTGGGGTTCCATGTCCAGATTCAGAAAATAAATTTACAAACTTTTAAATATGTATCAAATTTGCAAACATATAAATAATAAAAAAAAAACATTTATTGCAATGTTTATGGGGATGTGGGTAAAGCTCTAATTATGTCATTTCATATTACTGTAGTATTTTTAAAATAGCATTTGCAGAAATTAACTCAGAGCTTAAGAATAGTTTATAAATGGATACATCCTTTGTTGAGTAATAATTTGTATAAATGTTTAGAAACTATTAAATGCACTAGAAAAACAAATAAAATAGTTTAAACCCTTTAAATATTTACTTGAGTGAAGTGAAAAATTATTTAGGCATTTAAGAGGCTGACAAAAATGCTGACTTTATTAATAAACATTCTGCTAAATCCTTCACAGTAATGCAAGTAAACTTCAGTAGCAAATTTCTCCTATTTTTACATGGTTTTTGAAAACATAATACATTTCTGATGTTCTATATTGACATTTTCTGAGCTGAGAGGTTTTAAAAAGTATAATTAGTGTAAGAGTGTTTGATTTAAAGCATGTCTCTCATGGTAATGCTAATTTATCTTTATTATTTAATGAATTTTGCAAAAGCACAAGTTTTCTTTAAACAATAGGAAGATGTCAAAAATAAACTTTAATTACAAATGCATGAAATAAGTATTAAAATTATTAAATTATTAATAATTTTCTTTTTGTCTAAAAGTGTCATGTAAGTAACAATGTCAAATTTGTAAAGTGTTAGCATTTAGATAAACTTGAATTTGTGGCTCATAAGATCCCAATGTTCTTCTCATTTCACTTAAACATTTTCTCTGTTGTTGCCTGTATCTGTGAATTTAGTTTTGGAAACTATATCAAAACTAACCCCCCCCCAACAAACTTTGGAATCATAAATTTTGATTCACGTACTTGTGTAAGGGCATCTGTGTATATCAGTCTCTATACCGCTTTGTTAGCTTATACAAATACAGTTTTATGTCATGCGATGTACTGTGTTTTGTTTTATTTCTGCTTAAATAACAATATGAGTCAATATGTCATGCCAGGTTATAAATATCCCTAGTCTTGTGTTCTTTATTTCCTTCTGTTGGTTGGTAGGAAGCTCTCTGTTCACTGTACAGGTAATAACAATACCCCAAATAGTGCACCTTATCTTTTGGCTAGATTTAGTGAGAACACAGATGGTTCTTGGTCTGGTGATGACTAAATGACCTGTCCTTGACCACAGTTCAGTGGTCAGAACCAGTCACACAACACAAGGGTTGACATATAAAATCTTATGATTCATAAGAGCATAATCAGAGATGTTTAACAAAACACACACACACACACACAGAGTCATAGTTTTTTGTTTGTTTGTTTGTTTGTTTGTTTTCTCTACAAATTAAAAAAATGTAGAATTATCCA